ACTTGTGTTGAGCAGCTAACTGAGCTTCTCGCGCGAGAGCCATACTCGCAAAGAGACCGCACGGTCTACATCCTAGGTGCTGTTTGGCGCCTTTTGCCAAGCAACAGACTTCGAGAAGTCCGTGTGTGCCTGCTCCTTTTGTAAGAGCCACGTCTCCTAAACTCAGCTGTCTGGGGCTCATCTGGAAGTGTGAGCGGTTGTGCCAAGAACAACTCGAGGCTCAAGGCCACAGCAAGCCGGCTGTTGCTCAAAGGAGGGCTATTTTTGTGAGGGACTTGCGTGAACTTTCTGATTTCAACGACATCACTCTGAAAGCCTTTGAGGTTCTCGAAGGACCCTTCAAAGAACAGCTCAAGGAATACATCGCAGACTCTTGCGATCCCAGCAGCAGCAACCAATTGTAGGTAGGTGAAGTGCGTCGACCTCACCCAGTTCGGACCTGCAGAGACAAGATGGGTAAGAACCGTGACTACGTTGTGTGTACCAGCTGTGGGGATGCGAGCTGGCAGTTCGCGTACAGAGCGTGGAAGAAGCCGCAGTGCAAATTCTGCGGAAGCAAGTGGTCGGAGTGGACGAGTAAGGGATACAGATTGTCGGATTACATGACAGTTGACAACAACAACTGGCAGTTGTGGCAGCAAGGGGGCAAAAAGAACAGGTCGCCTAAGGCCCAAGCTGTCCTGACTGAGGTCTGGGAGTTCCTCCCTCAGCAGGCCAAGGACATGATCGGAGAAGCCGGCTGGAATCCGCCGCAACCAACTGTGCCGCCTGGCTTAGAGGGATGGAGCTCCTCTCCCGACAGGTCTGCTGAAAGCCAAGAGTTGGTCAGGTCCCTTTGGGAGTCGGCAGAGGAGGACCAGAAAAAGGTTTTGGAAAAGCTGGGTCTGATGCCCAAGCCTCAGCCCAAAACCAGCTTGCGGGATTTGTGCAAACTGCATGCCCCTGATTTGCCGAAGGAGATCCAGGACCTGCTGGAAGAACCTCCCCGGCCAAAGCCCACAGCCAGGCAGGCTGTGGAAGCGGCAAACAAGCAGTTCAAGGAGGCCACGGCCAAGCTCAGGGAGGCCATTGTCCAGAAAAGCGATCTTCAGAGCAAGGTGGACAAGGTCAAGGAGCAGTATACAGGCCTACTCCGGCAGCTCCAAGAAGCGAATGAGGCGATCCAGAAGATGCAACAACTTGTCCAGAGCAAGCAGACAGCGCTCCAGGAGGCAGTGAAGGACGATTTGGTGGAGGCCGAAGATGAGACGGCGGCCGCCCTAAAAAAGGCAGGGCTGGTGGCCACCAAAGAACAAGCGCAGGTTCTGGCGCAGGCTCTTCAGGAAAAAGGCAGGACCCAGCCCATGGACGTAGACTCTCTGGAGTCGGAGGTAGCGGGCATGGATGTCAGCGCCCTCCAGTCTTTAAAGAGGAAGATTGACGAGATATATGGGAGGAAAGAGCAAGAGGCCAGGACTGCAACAACAGACTCAATGCCGGAGCCACAGACCAGAAAGGATGACAGTCAAGGGGACAGGCGCAGTAGGTCCCCGCGACAGTCAGCCACGCAGAAGTAGGACAAAGGCCTAGGGGCCGGCCAGTGTCAGGGTCCAGTGGCTGGCCCCCGTGACGGGCCATTGGCAAAGACCCACCAATACACACTTAGCAGTTTTGGCAATGTTGCTGCAGGTCGGACTTCCGAACCTGGTTTTGCCGCAACATCTGAGGCGGAGTCTGCAGACGGCAGGTCTGCCTCAGCAAGAGGACCAAGTTACAAGCCGAGCAACTATTTCAGTCAGGTGAGTCCCTCCCTGAAGTACAACAAGCCTAAGCGGCAACGTGTCAAGGTCAGGTCCAAGCTCCTGAAGTTTTGCTCCTGTTACAGGAGTTGGGCCAACCTTGAGTTGTGCTATAGTAAATGGGGTGCGATTCCAGACAGCCACGAGCGTTTTCTTCTTAAGTTAGCGGAGGACTCAGCTGTGGCTGAAGACAGCAAAAGTCTCGAAGGCTGGACCATCCAGCAGATGCTCAGCCACGCCTCTGGAGACGCCTTTGCAGGGCCCAACGTTGTCTTGCAGGCCATCAGGGACGTCAGAGCCAGGCACCAGCAGCGCAGTCCGCTGGTAGTGTCGGTTCGGATTTCTAATGTTACAATGTGGCGCAAGGAAGTCGCCGACTGGGCAAAGACATCCAAAGACCACATCCTGCTGGTCCAAGAGACCCACTTGGGTCCGGCCGAAGCTAGGGAAGCGTCTAATTACATGCACCGGCA